ATGTGGGGTCGAATCAGACAACAGGGAACTGCCCCCGAAGAGCATTCCCCACCAAAGGCTTCCGCGGCAATGCACGCTATGCAGGCCATTCCTGTTAATTATTTTATCTTTCAAAATGAGGGGGGAAGGTTGAGTAAATGAGATCAGATCAATCAAGTTTAAATTATTCAATGTCTTAATATTTCTGAAGGGGACTTCTATTCGATTACTGAGCTCCTCCATCTCAGTTAATAATTAAATAATATGCTGGCAGGCACAATGCAGCATGATCATTTCTGTTATTACTCATGATGATATCTGGTGTTCCACTACACATGTAGCTCGGAGTTAGTAGTTCTGGCAGATCATTAATTTCCCAGTTTAAATAAAAGCTTTAAAACCTTGATGCCTGCAGTTAAGGCATACCCAAATGTCATACACAGAGCATAACACTGTTGATGTAAAAGAAGTTTCTACATAGCTGAAGACAGAGTTAGATTTACCTTTGGCTATTTACGTCTGTATTCTCTAGGATTCTTGCTACATTGTATTGCCATGTATTAGCTGGCACTATATGTCAGAAGCTGTAGTAAACAAAAGCCTTTGGAACCGGACAGTGAGAGGTGCAGGGTTGCACTGGAGGCCCTGAGACAAACTCCTTCCTTGGTTTTACATGGGCTGAAACCGTGTGGTTAGCAATAATGACCAACTGTGATGAATAATTGTTTTGCTTTATCTACATAGCTCTATAAAGCACAAGCTTCACCTTTAGACAGGCTGAAATTTCCAGGACTGTCGTGCTGCTGACAAACTGTGCTTATACAATCCTCCTAGTTGAAACTCTTTCAGCTCTTCCAACCAAGAGCTAAGAGTGAAGATGTACAACTGCTGACCACTGTTCAAGATCAGGCTAGAAGGGATTTTTGGGGTGTTTTCCAAAAGGGGAAAAATACTGTCACCACACTTTTTTAAATGCTACTTGCTGCAAGCAAGTGAAGACTATTTTGTCAGTATTACCAGTGACGACTTGACTGATCTGTGTCCAAATGCAACCTATTTTGTAACTTACTCTGTTCCTTAAGGAATAGATTTTGCCTCTCTGATCACATCCAAATAGGAAAATTCACACTCTCAGATCTGGATGGAATGATCATTCAGATATCGTATTGTTACGACCCTAGAGATCTCCCCAAAAATCAATCTTTATACCAAGGATCAAAAACGGAGTTAACAAAGTATTCCTTAAGTTAATCTATTTTGTTGGAAAATTAATAAATCACTAGAAAATTAGTAAAACACTAAATTTTGAAGTAGCAGGAAAAGAAAAATGACATTCCCAAGCTTGCTCACCTCTTCAACCCCAGCGGTTGGTGTAACAGCCAGTCTAGGTTCTGGTGCTAATTTCACAACCTCAGCCAAGGACACACCAGTCTCCGCCACAAGCCCTGCAATGAGAATCACAATCCTGATCAATGCAAAAAGCAAGATGAGGGATGTGCCTGGACTCCCTGGCAAATTAATACACTATATTGATTCTGCCTGGTCAGGTCAGCATTCACGATTGAAGGATAAATGGCCAGAGATCTTACATTCCAATGCACTAGTCCGGGAAGTGGGGGCTCTGAGATCGAGTTTTTGCCAATCACTCAGTTCATACCCTGGAGAACAGGCAGGCAGCAGAAATGCTGCTCAACAATATCAGTAATTATTTATTACAATAATACAGTAAACAGCAAAAATACGTGGACATAAGAGATTCAAGGACAAAATGTGACTAAACAAAATAAAAAGGAAGAGAAGTGAAAACAGCATCAAGAAAACATGTAACAAATCATCATTAACCATACTGATATATAAGGAAGCAGAATAATAGGGGAATCCCACTACTACAGCATTTCACTTTGCAAGTGAATCACAGCATTTCAGGAGTTCCCTGTTACTCCTGCCAAGAACCGCAGGCTAACTGTGGAATACTCTACTGGTAGATATACGCTGTAATGTTATTAAGGCATCCTTGCCGTCGATATTTCATTTATATTAGCAGGTCTTCACTTTTACTCTATTCCTTTGCTTGGCCAAGAGTGAGTCAGCAGAAGGCATCAGTCAAAAATGTTATTTCGAAACGCACACAGCAAGCCTCTGGCGCTCCGCTGGCAGAGCACCTGAGCTACGGAGTCCCTTGCTCAGCCTGGCATCCAAAGTCTTCACTCAGATACTCTGTCAACCAAGCTCCAAGACGGCATATGCCAAACTGGCAGAGGGAATTCACATCTTCCAACTATACGAAGTAACTGCACAAATTTTAATGGAGGCTCCACATTTCACGTGTATTTACAGACAAGGAATTGGCTTGCAGCAGAACGCACTGGAAAGGCTGTGGGGGTTTCTGAAGCAGTAGGCAGAGTTTGAGTAAAAAGAGAAAAAAAATGTTTGGAGATTTAGTCCCCAAGGTGTCCCTACCGTGGCTTCAAACACACTTGATAATCTAACAGTAGTGTTTCCACTATCCTATAAAAGCATACTTTGCCTGACGGAGTCCTTGCATCTTTCTGGAAAAGAGGAGAGCGTGCTCTGTGTGATAAACACACTGACTCAATGGCTTGGCTATACAATTTTCTGTGCTACTTTCAAATGCAGGAGAGCATGCAGCCTTCAGAAGCTATAATGTGACAGCAGAATTTGCTTCTAAAATTAAAACTTGGCTGATTTTTTCTGATGACTGATGTTATCTTTTTCACGCTTGTTGCAATGCCATGATCTTACACGAACTTGTATGGAAGCCATCCATTCTTAAAAGGCCAAATTCTAAGGTTTTATTCAAAAAAACTGAGACTAACAAAAGTTGGCCTAAAAAAGGACTTCAGAATACAATCCACATTCCTTAATTTGTTTAGCAGCAAGGTATTAAAGAAACCATTTCAAAACACCTGAATAAAATGTGCTGCCTGGGATTCAACTCCATTTAATGGCTGAGAGCCCACCCTCAACATACAACGGCGTGCATTAACAGACTTAAGTTAACTAAAACTTTAAATCTGGAACTTGGACTGTTGCACTACACTGAGTGATGTACTATAACAAACAAAATGACTGGGCAATCTAAGAATATCCCAAGATTTATACTTTTACAAAACAAAGTGCACACAGCCTGAGTATGGAGTACAGTACAGCTTGCACAACCTTTATCCTGATGTTTAAAAGCTGTAAGATATATATAGGTTTAATGATATTTACTTAGTCATCATTATTACCAGACTTGTCTACCCTACCTTCTCTAATCCTCTTTGTAAGGATTAATTATTTGTTTGGTTTGACCATTTCAGTGATCCAGTCTACATCACGGACTCCAAACTGTGCCAGTGTGCTAAGCTGATACCTTTAGCTGGCTGCATTCTTCCCCAGGAAAAGCTATTTGGAGGAAGCAACATAACACATTAAGGTCCTAGACCCTCCCATGCCAATCTCAGCAGTTTTCAGATCCTATCCGGGGTTGAGACATAGATTCGAATTATAACCTAAATGCTACTCTTGGGCTCAATCCAAGCATACCAATATGAGTGCAAACCCTCCCTTTGACTTCAGTGACCTTTCAGCCAGATCCACACTGCTTTATTCTCTCGTTTTCAGTAACGCTAATCCCAAGTATTAACTAACTGCAATTAAATGCCCAGGCTACTCAGAAGTTTCTCCTTACAGTCTTACCATGAATTGCTCTGTAAGCACTTCCTAAACAAGCAGAGTTGGCGGTATCGATAGTGTACACTGGTGCGTTGAACACGTCAGACAGGACCTGAGAAGTATCAGAGCATCAGTTACGCATGTCCATGAAAGACAAGGGATAAGCAATTCCCTATCACTGCTTGGGAAAACAAATGGCTATTGTACACTCTAGCTAAGCATTTGGGCACACACTAAACAAGGCACCAAAGGCAAAGACTCCTGAACCTTGTCACGTAACAGAACACTGGCAAATCTGACCTAGAGATGTAACTGCAGTAGGAACCGAAGCCCCTTTTCTCTCCAGATCTCCTGGGTACCACCGTTCTTTTATTACAAGTTCAGAAGATTTTGAATTTAGGTATCATCTCCCTCGTAAGTCCAGATAACCAGCTCATGCCGAAGGCTTACAACAGGGTAAGGATATCTATTCAGGAACCCACAATTGGTTGTGGTGACAGTTTTCTTTCATCACAGTTATGGCTCAGCCAAGTGGGAAGGAAGGAAAGAGGGATCAGTCATGGCTCCCTAATTCTCAGGTTTGACATAGTAAAAAGTACAGCCGTACGAAAGGCTACTTCATACTGTCTAAGCCTGCCATTTTTTGCCTCCAGCACTCCCATCGTGTTAGGGTTAGTAGAAACAATGGCACAGGAGCTGGTTACACAGGCTGTACATCCACTCGGGACTTTCCCGTATTCAAGGAATCTTTAGCTAAAAAGATACAGCCAGTCTGCTTGTTCTCAGCTTGAGCAATACGAAGAAAATGGTACAGGCAAAGAATTTGTTTTGATATCCAACAGATACTAAATTTATTCCATCACACATCATACCACCCACCGCACTGAATTCTACAGCGGCCGACTCCTGTTTACGTTAGGAAAATAGATACTGGAAGGGAAATCAAAGATGCATTTCAATAGGGAAGTGGGAGGTTTAGGGACACAGGAGGCTCAAGAACTCTTTGCTGAAAATATTGTCAACAAACTGATTTCGAATTAATTAGATATTCTGCTTTCATCAGCTCTAGGATTGCAGGTATCCATCAGGCTGAACAACAAAAGAAGCAGGTAACAATTCAGATTTAATTTGTGCTGGTTTTATTACTTTTATCAAAGGTAACAGTACATCACCTGATCCACATCAGCATAACAGAGTCTAAAATAAGGCCACAGTGTCCAGGAATCTAAACCATCCAGATAAGGAACTTGCAACCCTGATCCAGGGATTTACAACCCCTCTGATCACAGGCCCCAGGGCTTCATAAAAGATGACTATGGAGTTTAATTTCTATATGCTGTAGAAAAAAACGGTATGTGACATTTCAGAAGGATTTGCCTCTCCATCTGAAAATTCTGGGAATCTACAAACCAAAATGTTTGACTATCACCCATTCAGATGCTTTTGAACTAACTGGCTGTTTTTAATTAGAATTCAATGAAAGCCTGAGTGCATGCGTTTAACACACTCTCTCTGGTAATACTGCCACAGAAGTATTGTCTAACTTCTGTTTGTAAGCAAGCATTGAGCAATATATGAGCCTCAATGCTAGAGGACAAATGGAAAACTAATCACCGTATTTATTAAAAAGTCCTCTGGAAATGAGAAGGTCGTAGAGCACTGGTTTCACAGCTCATCTTGCTAGCCAATAATATTGTATTGTCTCAACACATTCTCCATCCGTTTCTTCATCTCTATTAGGTGTTTCTTGTCTTACGCTTGAATTGTGAATTCCTTTGGACAACAGAGGTCCTTTGTTTTGCATCACTGCAGAGCGTTATACAATGCAGCTCCAGTGTATATTGAATGTTAATACAGACTGTAATACTCCAAGTAAATAATAACTACCTTTTGCATCACATGATTATCAAATTAAGATTATTCTGAAGTTCGTACATTTAGTAAATCATTTGAAACTGTGATTTTTCCCATGAATAATTTTAAAAGCAACTGTTAGAGGTTTTACTGTCAAAAATATTTCAGAGTTATTCACGCGGTCACTAATTAAGCACCACATATGTTCTAAAAAGCTTCCCGTGATAGGGGAGAGAGCTGTACTAGGGTTGTATTTTTCAGACAGATTTTCCTAAGTTGCTTCTTTTGCTGTGTAAAATATAGGAGCTCCTGAACACTGATTAATTAAATGATAGTCTTTTGTAGCCCTGGGACAAATTATCCAAAACTGACCACGATAAGGGGTGGAAACTGTTATTGTTCATGCAACTGATATGGTTTCTAAGGTTTTGATTAAATTAAAAAGGAGGATCCAATTAACCAGTGATTGAATTAAGTGGATGACACTGTATTGATCATATTTTTTTTAAGACATTTCTAAGGAGTTTTTAAAACAGCTCTATTGTTACACTTGAACAGCAAGTACTAGAGCAGTCACTTTTTCATCCCCACAATTTTTCAGCTCTCTACCTTTCAGAACTACATGTTACAAGAACATTCAGCTCACTGCCTTCATTCTATTGCCAGGAGCTCTTCCTAGCACCTCAGGTGGATATACAGCTTTAAAAACTCATCCATCTATTAATCCAATCTCTATCTTGACATATTCTTAGTGGAATTACTCCAATAGGAATCAATGTTTTAATCGATAAACCTATCTGTTAACTTTTCCAATGCCAAGCAAAATAACCTAAAGCAGGTGGATAAAACTGAGCAAAAGAATCCAGGCAGATGGAGAAAGGTGGCATCTACAGACAAAACATGCCAAATTCGTTCTGTCTCAATCAGGTCTACAAGCTATAGTTATATAAGCAGGAGCTTCAAATGACTTAGGAGAAAAGAGAGCTTTTTGCTCTTTGACCTCCATTCACTCCAACTCAAGTTTCGAAGTACAGATGCCATTCATTTCACACAATTTCACTCGTCAAGGAATACAGTGCATAGGCTGGTGGCTAGACTCCCTCTGTAGCTGGTGGAAAGGGACTGGCATCTCCAGAAAGCAGTTCTCCCTATCCTGACCAACTTCAATGCGAGGATTAGGCCCAAAATTAAGACAGGAACCTTTTGCTGAAAATGTCTGTCTCCAAGCACAGCGTCTAAGCCCCTACCACAGCCAACGGGAAGGCTGGTCAAAACAGTCAGTGAAGTCTAGAAAGCTCTTCAACTCACCTGATGGGAGATATCTGCACTTGATACAGTAAATCATCATTCGGTTTCCTTTGCACTATAACTGACCAGAACTCTATTGACTACTGCAGGATTCTAAATGAAAGATCACATACAGATATCACAGCACAGAAAACTGAGTTCACAACAGATGAACCCCAACTCAGATGTCTCTTTGATAGCAAAAGCTTGGTGAGTGGCCTCTCACCATTAGTAAGGCTTTGCGAAATCTCAGCGTGGCGCTCTCCCTTTACTGCAAAGCAAAAAACCTTTCAGATGTGTCATCAGTGGGCACATGCCCACACCTCAAATACAACTGCCATTCTTCTGACACCGATTTCAAAAGGGAGGGCAACAAATAAACGGGCCATAGAAACTGGGCAACTTTTCCATCTCTTGGGAGGGACCTTCAGGATGGGGCCAGAGTGGTGCAGAAACAGAAAGTGTGCAGAAATCCATTGTGAGGATCTTAGCCAGAGCTGGATGCAGGAGCAGAGGAGGGTGGGAAGAGGGAGGGCGGATTACATAGAAGCATAGCCTCCTGCCCAATATGTGACGTAATGCTAACAGATAATCAAAACAACAGGGAAAGTATTTTTTTGAGTTTCAGCATCAGCATAATCCCCTCCAATCTAAATCTACGCTCTGACGTGATCATAATGACAAAAATGACAACAATTTCACGTATCTTATCAAGTCTCTGCTTGTTTTTTTTTTTTTTTTTTTTTTTTTTTTTCTTTTTGATCTAACATAAGCGATTAGGCCTGGAAATCATCAATGTTTCACATAGAGAACGAGTCAACAGTAAAAAACTGCAAAATTCAACATGAAATTAATATTAGGCTAATGCTCTCCACACTAAAACTCAGCAAAACCCCAAAGACCTGAAGCTGACTCACAATCCTATATCCATAATCTCCTGTGCAGCTGTAGTGGTTTGGATTCAGTACCTCAAAATAAAAATATAGAGAAGATTGATTCCAGTGCTACTGATTTAATTTGGTACTTACCTGCAAGATCTTTTCATTGTGGGATGCGCCACCAGTAGCCAAAATCCTTGTTCTCGGCACTGCAATGAAATACGTGACATAGGTCAGACTAAAAGTACATATTGTTAAGATTTGCACTACTGAACCAAGCAATGAGAAGGAAGTGGGAGTCAGATGGTCTGGGCTCTCTCTCTGCACATCTAATTTACCTTCTGTAAAAAAGAAGATAAAACTAATTACCCACCATTCCAAGGCACATCAGAACACTTCATTAGAAGTGGAAATATAAATATTACAGTTCTATTATTATTACAGTGCTATCAAAATCATAAAGATTTGCAAAGAGGTATACAATAAGAAAGGCAGAGTGCTTTTACACTACAGCCCTTTAAAATCAGCAGTATTTTCCAAAATTATCTCCTCATGACGTTCACAGTCAGGGTTCACTGAAATCTGGGTAATCCCTATACGCTTGCTTGAATGACAGGGAAGTGTGTCAAAAAGTAATTAGAGAAAGTCTAAGTCATTTCAGAAACTATCTGAATCTTCATCCAATGCAAAATCATAGCTTTGGAGGTATTAAACAAAGAAAATCACTTTACATTCTTTAAAGACATTCACCTTTCCATCCCACTTTCTTGAATTTTGGTCCTGCACCCTGTCACCTATTTGCGAGCATGCTCTTCTGGAGCATACCATACGACGAGCCATATACCTATCCACAACCAGAATTCAGCAAGGTATTTAAACATTAGTAATCCCACTGACCTCACTGAAATTCTTTAAAGGCTTAAACAAATGCACAAATACCTTGACATCTTACATACCTCCTATTAAAAAATATATCTAAACACTAATTACCATAGTCTTTAATTCTGTAAGTGCCACCTTCCCCAAAAGGGGGATTTTACTATGGTTATTATTTTGTTATCTTATCCTCAGCTTTAGTAAAAGCTAAGGATAATTTATTTCACACAAAGGAAAAGTTGGTCAACTTCTACTGCGGCCCTAAACAGCTTGTTGCCAATTAGCCTTTTAAGTGTCTTAATGACAAAAGCCTGTAGATAAAAATAGCAACAAAGAGAAGATGCAGCTCACAAGGACTCCCCATGCCATTCCTAAATCTACAGCAAGGTGCTCAGGCAAAGCCTAAGACCCAGTCAAAGCACTGCATGGAGGATCCTATTTTGCTGATAAATTTAATCTTATTTTCCTCTTTGGAGGATATTCAGTGATGCACAAATTGGGTTTTAAAAGCCATTAGGATCTCTGTCAATGTCAGTAAACAAATAAAAGAAACAGCAGAGTGATTCCTCAGGGAAAACAAGTTTCAATTATACCAACACAGAGTGACAGATCCCTGCCAAGATTATCACAACAACATAATAGCACAGAAACCAGTGAAAAATAACTAGTAAGCCTCTGCTCCCGAAAAGCAAACTGAAGTCTAAATGGTTTGCCTACTAGCTGCAATTCTGTCTTGCTAGACCTTGTTGGAAATATAAATTCTTGCAGAAGCACCGTATCCAAGATGAAAACAACACTGAAAATCAGTCAGCAAGGCAGAACGAGAAACAAACTCGTTCACTACACTTTGCTGTGAATAAATGCAAAGAATGAGGCACGCCTCCTCCCGCAGCCCCTGGAAAAGGGCATAATGAGGTGCTGGCTACCACCACCCGGGAGGAACAGGGGGCCAGATACAAGCGGGGAAGTCAAGCGCCGGCCATCCCAGTGAAACTTGCAAAGCCATCGCAACTCAGCTGCTTCTTGCCAAAGATAGCGTTTTTGCATTACGACTATCCAGGAGAAAGCGGGTCACCAAGGTAAGCGTCCTGCTATCAAAAGCAAACTCTGTTGACTCAGAATTTCATGGTGCTCCTGACTACTTTGCCTATTCCCATGTTACTTGAGACTATTCCAAACAATGAGCAGCTATGAAGGTGAAAATTATACTTTGTTGGTATTATTATATCCTTTGATTAGATGCTACAAAGACCTCTACTCATTGCTACATCAGAAGATTTAGCCTTAGTCTACATATCGATTTACACCATAACTGTGACTTAGGATACTGCTATATAAATGAGCTACTACAAGAATAGCAGGGATGACTTTACAGTGCAGTAAATGAGTATGCATTTACCCTACTTTTAGTTGAGTTAGATGTCTACCAAGAGGGGAACCTGACCATAAATCTAAAAACGTTTAACCACCTGATTATCAGCACATCTATCTTAATCCCGACCAATTCCTCTGCAGCTAAATGCAAAGAATTATTTTAGCATATATCTAACTGTATAATGTGTGTACTTGATAAAATAAATTAAATAACTTCTGAAGTTTCTAATGTTGGCTGGACATCTCAAGTTCTAAACTGGATCAACTCAAGAGTAAAAACACACACAGATACACAGTAAAAAAAAAAAAAACCAAACAAATCTATGTTGAAGCTACATAAAGGGCAAACCATTCATTCTCCTCCCTTCTGACAACGACTGCAGCTCACTTCACGAGAACATGTCCCAGCAGGTGACAGCCTGGAGAACCCCAACCACAACTGTTCCATCATTGAACCCAATGCCCCATACGGTGGGACTGGTCTCCACCCTCCACATGAAGAGCGATCTCAGGTGAACCTGGCACGCTGCATTTCTAGCGGTGGCTCTGGGTACAGCCAGAGCAGGGACAAGGGCTTCCTTGGTCTAGGTTCAGCCAGTCTTTTTTACAGAAGAGGACTAAGTCCCAAAAGAGCTGATCCACATTTGCTGAATTTTAGGTTTTATTTCTTATTTCAGTCTTTCTCCCGAGAGGAAGGAAAACGCATTGATCACTGGTTTCAAGGATTGTCTTTTTAATGCCAATATTGTGTGCTTTCCTGAACGGTGGACATTTGCTCTGAGATGTGTAATTGGATACATCTTATAAATAAATAAAGAAAAGCCCATTATTTATGTATACAGGGGCATTAACAAAGACATCGTTCATCCATCACTAGCGGTGTTCTCAGCCAGCTGCGTTTGAATTCGTCAGGAGCTACCCCTACAGCAGTGCACAGAAAGAACTTAAATACCTTGTTACTAAAAAAAACCAACAACTGTAGCAAACATAATTCATGAATTCGATTCTTTGACAGTCGAGAGAATCGGTTTAAACATCTTTTAATTAAAAGCCCCCCGCACAGTACCTAACCAACCAGTTTATTTCCTTCCTATTTAAAATTTTATGATTTTGAGAGAGCTGATGCTGAATTTCAACCCTGTCTAGAAAGTGTTTGCAGCAGCACATAAGAGTGGTGGTGTCCTGAAAATTCAGTTAAAACAGTAATTCCCACTGAGGGGAAACAAACGACGCAGGTAAAGAAGTTTACTTACGCAGCAAAACCGAGTACCACGCACTTTTGCGCACATGACTTAGAAGCCAGTCCATTTCCAAACCCATCACTATCCACATGACAGCCGCCACTCTGACCTGCTCAGACATCCAGCAAGTATTGAATGATGCTAAAAGTTCACCTCCTGCCTATTGTTTTCAGTCAAAAAAATTACTTTAATTGAAAAACACAAAGGAAAAAAATCTGTCACAGAGAAGATAAACCACTGTTGTTTGTTTTACAGCAATTGTCAGTGGCCCTCAAAAAGACTTAAGTCCCGTATCACTGTATGTTTACAAACACCTAGGAAGAACCAATTCCTTCCCAGAAAAGCAAGCAATTTGAGCAGATTAAGACAAGAAGAGTGAGAAAAGTAAAAACGTTTAAAAGTGCAGACACAAAAAGCCTTGCTCAAATTCATTCAGCAAGGGGAACGGCAGCACCAGTAACGCAGGACCAGTCTCGTGGGCAGCCCAGTGGCCCCTCTAATGGTTCTGGCACGTACCCATGGCTATTAGGAAAAATAATCACATAAGCAAACTCACATCAATCAGAGGTCAGTGCTGATAATTAGCACCAAAAGCTGGCTGCCACATCATTTGCGCAAGGCGGCTGGAGGCAGAGTTTTGCCCTCTTTGCCTGCCAGGCAGGAGACTGGGTGAGCCCATTAGCAGTACGGGCGCCAAAATCAATTGCAGGATCCTGACCTTAGCGCTTTCGGGTCTGGCTTCAGCCCGTTTCAGTCCTGAATTTTGCTAGCTCACGTTCAGCAAAGTCACAAAGCAGAATGTGACCTACCATTTTGAGGTTAAAAGCTCTTCAGTTCTTTAATCTGAATTTCCACTGTTGCACGTAGCCCTCCCAGCTTGTACCCCAAAACGCCAGGTCCCTGCTGACATTCAGAACTCCTAAAAGACATTCATAACATCTTTCCCATAACAACCAAATCCATAAATAAAACAGAACAATAGCACTTGCATTCAAAAAGCAGCTGATTATGCACACGAACCCATACCAGCTATAAGCATGATTGCGAATAACTGCAATTTACAATTTGCAAGCAATGGGAAAAGTATCAGCTCCTCCTTTATTTCTCTGATCAACTCCAAACACTGTAATTTAAAAAAAATATGCATTTTCTAGCTTTTCATTCAAGAAAAGCAAAACAAAATATATCATCATTTTGTCCCATTTATAAAACAAATGCTCCAAAATTGTCCTACTTATATATTAACGCTTCTAAAACTCATGCTAATCTTTCTTATTCATATAAACACTGTGAAATTAAGCTCCTGCTATGGTGCAGGCTCATCTTGTCTATGCTTTTAAATACGAAAATGTACAAGGCACTGTACCTTTTACCCTTAACTCCTAGGACTGGGTCCAAAGGAACCTGCTTCTCTATCTGCTTGTGCTGTATTACTTTTGACACCCCAAAATACATCATAACAAAGAGAAAAGGCTGCCACAAACAAACCTCTAGCACACTACACAATACTAAGACAAAAGTGAGCCAGACCCCTTTTTTTTTTTTTTTTAAATTAGAGGCAACTAAAAATTTAAATTTAAAAAATTTAGTACAACTACAATTTAAAAGATTTAGTATAACTACCGAAGTGAATGATTTACAAGCTTAAGGACAAACAATAAAATGTATTCAGACAGCATTACAATACTAAAAAGAAACTAATAATACTTAAAACCCAT